CCTACCCGAGGGCGCGGGCGGTGCGCGCTCCACGCAGGGCCCCGGAGCCCGCGCCCTGGCCGCCCGCAGCGGGAAGGCATCCGCGGAGGGATGTCGGGGCCGCTGGACGGCCCAGGTGGGGACCAGGAACCCGGACTTCTCTCCGTCTTGAAATTAGCATCTTGGCCAACACCTAAGTGACGACTGCCAGAGCTTCGTCTGAGTGCCAAGCACTCACTGGGAAAGCGTCACTTTTATTTATTTATTTTTTATTTTTTTATTTTTTTCTTGCCTTTTCGAGACAAGGTCTCGCTATGCAGTTCGGGCTGGCCTTGAGCTCACTTTGTAGCACAGGCTGGTCTCGAACTTGCAGTGATCCTCCTGCCTCAGTCTCCCGAGTGCTGGGATTAGTGGCGTGAGCCACTTTTATTTAGAAAGCAAAACCGTGCCGCTGTCCTTTCCTTCCGGACCCACGCCCACCTCAGGGTTCGAGCCCCCATCGATATCTGCCAGACCTCAGGGGCAGGATTTAAAGACCGATTCAGGGACCTAAAGGTAGTTCATGTGTTAGGTCATCGTGGGGATACTTTTTAATGGATTCAAGGGTTGTAGCTTTTTGTTGTTGTTGTTAGAGATGGGGTCTCGCTGTGCATTTCAGGCAGGCCTTGAATTCACTGTGTAGCCCGGACTGGCCTCGATCTTGGCGTTGATCCTCCTGCCTCAGCCTCCTGAGTGCTGGAATTACAAGCATATGCCCCCATGTCCTGCCAAGGCTTGTAGCTTTTTTAGCATAAGCAACACGAACCCTACCTTACAGACTTGTTCTGCAAAGAAACGAGTTTACTATATTTTAAATACTGTGTTAAAATGCTAAGACATATTTGTTTAAAAACAGAAATAAGTAAACTGAAAGTGTAGATCCTTCCTGTACTGTCTGGTTTACCCCTTCTACCCTCCCCTTTGTTTTTGTTTTTGAGACAGGGTCTTAGGATATAGCCCAGGCTGGCCTTGAACTCACAGTGATCTTCTGCCCTCCCCTTCGGAGGTCATCCCACTTGACACTTTGGTTACTCTCTTACTCCCTAGTCCCATTCTTCCTTCGGGTAATGGGGATGAACCTGGGCTCCGCGTTCAGGGCAATCACCCTCCTACTCTACTCGCACAGCCCTTGCTTTTTTTTTGAGACAGAATATTGTTAAATTGCTCAGGCTGGCCTGGAACGTGTGCTTCTCCCAACTCCCAAGTAGCTAGGATTGTTTTTTTCTTTTTGTGTTTTTGAGGCAGGGTTTCACGGTGCAGTTCAGGCTGGCCTAGAACTCACTATGTAGCCCAGGCGGGCCTCGAACTCCCAGCGATCTTCCTGCCTCAGCCTTGGCAGTGCTGGAATTACAGGTACGCGCCATCACACCCGGCCTGGGATCACTTTTAATTTGGGTTTCTACATGCAGAATTTTAAGAAAACAAAATAAGAATTTACTTTCTTTTTCAGCAACATTTCTCATTTGATACCTACTAGTCAGACTTCCCTATCAACACATGAGAATTAACTCTGCTCCTTATAGTGACTGCATGGTGCAGAATTCCCTGTCCTGGGTGTGCCCTTATATCAGCCTTCTCTTGAAAGATACTGAAATTGTGGCCAGGTCTGCAAAGCTCAAAGCTGCGAAGTCTCACTCAGGTACATATTTGTGCTGCTCTGCCTTACAGAAGAAACATCCAGGCGTGAAACCGTTCAGTCAGATGTTAGCACTGAACGTCTGAGCAGGTGCTTCAAGCCAGTGGATTTCTACCTCTTAGGGCAGTAAGTGCACTCTCTGCCCTCAGCAAATGCTAAATTTTGCCAGTCCTTTAAATTGCCCGTATTTCACATGAAAAGTGGTACGCTGGTATGTTATTATTTTTTTTTAATGGTGTCTTACTCTAATTTACCTTTTAGTGTTTTACTTAATCAACCTTTTTTTAAAGACAGGGTTGCCTGGTGTGGTGGCACACACCTGTAATCCCAGCACTCAGGAGGCTGAGGCAGGAGGATCGTTGTGAGTTCGAGACCAGCCTGGGCTACAAAGTGAACTCAAGGCCAGCCTGAACTGCATAGTGAGACCCTGTCTCAAAAAGACAAAATGAAATAAAATAAAATAAAATAAAGACGGGGTGTTACTATGTT